CCCCCCCCTGCACCTTGTAAGAAACTCTGCACCCTTTTCCTTGCTACAGCTGCAGCAGGTGAGAAACCTCATCTCGCCCCTAAACATGCTTAGTTCATGCCCTGCTTTTTACATGCTCAGGGCACTAATATGAACCAGATGAGAGGTTATAAAGGCGAGTTCTGCTGATCCTGGTTCCTGATTTACAGTTTTGGTGCCATGCTTCTGTCCCTATCTATACATTCTGCCCCTTTCTCTACAGAGGCAGCACATTCTCTAAACAAAATTTGAGAATCAAAGCAGGAAGTTCAAGCTATTGGTATATTAATTCCTATTGCTTCATTATGTATAAATGCATATCTCAATTTACTGGTAATAACTACATTACACTAGACATTTTGAATCATGCATAATTAGAATACTAGCTCTAAGATTTGGTTTGTGGGCCTGTGCCACCTTCCTTCAGTTTCTCCATACAGTTCTTCATGCCTAAGGCATTACAAACTAGCGGCCTTTTATTTGACCTGCAAACACACTCATTTGGAGGGGAAGTGGAGAGAAGCAGACAGGATTTACACAGGACACACTAAACAGTAAGTTATAACAGTATAACCTTTTATCTTTAACCTCAGATGTTGTAAAGCCTTAGGGAATCTGTCTATTATAACCCGGTATGTAGGCTCAGAGACAGTAACACACTCTGCTTATGTCACAAACACCAACACTTTCTCTAAAACTCTGGAGAAAGCGTAGAGCAGACTGAAAGGGAACAGACATCAGAATCCATGGTTAGTGTTCTGCACTGTTAAATGAGATACCCTGGTTCAACTGTTGGCTTTTGTGTGCCAGTCAAAGCGCTACAGGGGCAAAATGCTGGATCATCCAAGGGAAATCTAACTTGAACTGCCATTACGCAGCTCTGTACCTGAACAGCAGGCAGGATTATTCATTTTGGAGGAAGACCAGACAGTTTCCTAGGGATGCAGGAAGCAGCTATTTCTAAGATTGGTTATCCATCAAAAACTGTTCTTCTCTCATATTTTTACCATCTCTGCTCAAAAAAAACACTGCCATCTCTTGACAACGTAATCCTTGTGTAAAGTGTCAGTATCCTGAAGCTTGGTACAATTTCTTCTCACTCACTATCAAGGAGTATTTGCAAGACTTTCTTTTTTGTCCTAAATTTGACAATTATCCTCAGTTGCAGAAGGTGCAATTCCTGAAGGTTCAATTCCAAGCACAAGTACTGGCTAGAATTTCTGCAGCAGCACTACCGGGTATGGAAACAGCATTTACTTGTATCATCTGGTGTACTGCTGAAGAGGCATGTCAGTACTGGTCACTACACCTTTGATATCCCACACTTAAGTGTGGTAGCATTTAACACTTCCACTTAGTTTTAGAAGCAGTGAAATCAAGGGGGTTGGAGCAAAAGTCATGCCATCGTAAAAGAGCTGAAAGGCAAAGTAATTATTCCTTTTGTTGCTGTGAATAGTAATTTCTAGTCTAGTAGCCCAAAGAATACAGATCATTATAAAAAGTCTGAACTGGGAAGAATATGCAGATTGCTTGCCTTGCTACATCAGTCTTGACTTCCTCCCCCTCTTCTCTGACTGAATAAACCCTTGAAGAATTCCGTTCAGCCACAAAGTTCATACTTCTGGAGTATGAACATGACCATATTTTCATTATTATTTCATTATTATGTAAATGTACTTGCTGACCACAGACCAGAATAAATTTATAATTTCTCTAGTGTAATCAGATAACAATCAAATTAAGGTCCCCTATGGCCAGCTTCCAATTTTATCAATAATTCAATAGCTGGAATTTAAGCCGATTACAACCTTTCAGATCAATTAGCTCTTCATACACGTATTACATATTAGCTAAAACTTAATTAGGCATTCTCATGCTTATCTTGGTTACTTGATGCTGTAAAAACGCTCACAGCCCTCACAGTCACATTATCAGCTTATGAAGAGCCAAAGGGCTGCACCTCCGGAATTCTGAAACACTTGAAGTTTCCAAATTACAGTCCAAATTACTTCAGCTTTCTAGAAGAAATCCACCCAGATAGAGCTAAACCTCTGATGTAATAATTCTGTTCAGAATACATTATTAGCTGTTGGGCCATATTGTCTCTATAGACTACATATCTGCACTGAAAACAGTGTCAACCATGGACATTTTAGAACTCCTGTGGCTCTTTCATGTAACCCTTTGATTGCAAATACCTCACTGGGTGCAGAGGCTACTGCTGTAGGCCAATCTCCTTGTGTTACCAGAAGCTTCCCAGTTCTTGCCTCTGCAAAACTTCAGGCATCAACAGCAATCAATTATGGTCTGAAATACTGTTTAGCAAGGCTAAAATTATTTTTTGCTCTAAAGTAACGCTTCTAGAAGTCTACAATTGTGCTTGAGATGTACAGATATTTTGAGTGTCAAGTGTTCTCTCATTTCTTATTTTTTATTTAAAGACCATCACAGATTGGTCTTTGTAAACAAAGAAAGCAAAAATCCCTTCCCAAAAGAAAAGCTTCTAACTTTAGAATCGGGTTCTCTTCACAGTCCAGTATTTGGAAGGGTTTAGTTTCTTCCCAGAGAAAGAGAGCAAGTGCTAGACTACAAAAAAAGAAAAAAATATAGGGAAACTTCAGCTATCTTTTAAAAAAGAACTGTCTGCCCTTCCCCCAGCACTCACTATCAGTGCTTCAGACATGTGACAAAGCTTTTTTTTTTTTTTTTTTTTTTTTT